GTTCGAAAGCTCAGAACAATAAATCAATTGATCTGGTGCTCGACCCGCCTTCGTTCTCATCCATTTAATAATCATTCTTAATAGTGTTCTAAGCGCACTTAGATTGGTGCATTATTAGATGATATTTCAATCGATAGATTTTAAGCCGGTTGTCTAGTGATAACAGATGTTTCCAATAGTTAGGCGCATTTCATGTCACTGGTCACCAAATGTACGCGCGCGCGTGGTGCAGTTCGACGGCCGCGCGTCTTTCGACATACACGTGTCCTCACTTCGCCTTGACCCCTGCTACTTCATTTGCTTCCAATATTGCTGCAACAACAGAGCGCGTCAGGCCCGCTTATTTTGTGCGACAGACCTGCCCACATATGTACACTGATGTAACGGTGCTTGAGTTATTTCTTCGGTGTCCCTATATGTGGCTGCTTTTATAAGCGTTGTCTGCAAAGACCGCAGCGAGGTCACTATGGCGTATTCGCTGGTGCAGACGCTCATTAACAACTGCCGCTCAGCCACCATTGCACCTGCTTCAGGATAGCAGAGATGCTGGCTGTAGCCGTTTGTTTTATGACCTAGATGTCCAGGATGTCTATTCCGTCACTTCGTGTTTAATGCTCGCCGGAGGCAGCTGAGATAAAAAATAGTTGAGTTTTTCGATGACTGCTCAAGAGAGTAGCATCGTCAGGATAACAAAAGTGTACATATTCGCTTTGCGTACCAGTGGATACCACAGCGATTCAAAAGGGGACGTTTTCGAAAACTCAACTGACGCAGAACTCATTTTTAATTTCTTCTTTTTTATCTTAAGTGCTTCTGGAAATTTTACTCTCAAGGTACGTGAACTCGCGAATGACGACTTCCATGGATATTTTCTATGGATTCGTTGCAATTAACGATTACCGGGTGAGGTATAACCGCTACCTTCTCCGTGTTGTTTGTAAATCCAAAGGCGGAGAAAGCGGAGGCGAAGGAGTCCACACGCTGTGGGCTGTCTTCTTCCATTGTGGCTTTTAGCGCGTTGTCTGCAAACGTAACTGAATAAGCTAAGGTCAAATCCGGGAGCCACCGAGCTTCGGCGGAATGCCTGTTAGTCAGCGGGATTGTCTGGGCAGACAGGATGTGCAGGAGAAGTGGGGGTCACTGGAACGCTGAAACAACTGTTAGGTCAAACCTGGGGGACCGGGACGCCAGGGGAAAGGAAGCATTGAAACAGCTGCTATCCACGAACAAGAGGCCGTAGACACCGCGGCCTTATAAACTGCCGAAAGTGCCAGCGTGCGTCAGTCGTTGAGGCGTTGTCCATCAGTTCAGTACTCATCTCACAGAAAGGCCGCGAGTGCAGATCACGCCGCTGTCACAAGAGCGCGCCGTGACTATCGATTTTTCTTCATAGTTGATTGGCCCACTGACTCAGCTATGTGCCCCGCGTTCCCACTTAAGTACATGCAGCCTTTGTGTGAGAATGACTCGCTCTGACTTCCTTTAACGTGCTTGCCTCAGTAAACTCCCTCTCTCTGGCCAACCGGTCTTCTCTCTGTCTCACTCTTACGGGTTCTTTGGTTCGGCGTTCGACTTAATTAGCAGTACCAAGCGCGGGTCATAACAAAGTACTGGGAAATCACGTAATTTTAGCCATCGAAAAGGATCAAATACTCCTGCACGTTTAAAGCAACCTTTCCCAGGTGCAAATTTAAAGATTGCAAAAACAGCAAGATTTAATGGATCCATGACATTTCGGGAA